TGCGTTATCCTCTCCAATCCAATAGTGGCAAATAAATGGATTTTAAGCTATTCGCCGAAATTTAAAGAAAATCAATAAATATCCTCCCCCCGGACAGGCGGCTGCTTTTCTGACAAGAAGTGAACGAGAACATCAACATCAACACAAATTAAAGAATCTACACACAAAGGATCTTTTTTATACGCTATTCTCAAACGTGGTCACACTCTTGGACCAGGTCAGTGAACAATGGAATCTACCCCAACCAAACAATGTCAAATTTGGCTGGAGTAGATTCGGTAGATATTTCACTGGATATCAAAGGAAGTGGTGCGTGTCGAGAGAAAATTTCCTGTTAATTTTGCTTTTTTATTTTCCATAAAATCAATCGTGAGAAGTAGAGAAATATTAAGTCGTTGATAAAGATTTCGAAACATCTCAGAGAAGTGATATTCTTTGCTTCTCTTTCGCCTTTTTCGGCAACTTTAAAAGTCAAATTAATGAGATATGCCTGTCAATAAAAAGAAAAATTTACGTGAAAATACTATGATGATTCGTGAAAAAAAATTTCAGTTTCAGTAACATCTCTTTGTTTGGTGAAAAAACAAGCCTGAAATCTCAAGCATTCCCAAGGTTTCTTTCTTTTCTTTTATAGAGCGATAAGATTAGTTTCTTGAATTAGAAGAAACCAATTAGTTTGCCCTCATGAGAATTATGATTGCACCAATAATAAGTCAAAATACGAATAATTCATCTCGACGGAGTTGCGGCGACAGAAAGAGAACCAACACGACACTAGGGTGAGCCCCTTGCGTGACTGACGTAAGAAAGTAAATTGATACAACGCTCGCACTTGAATTATCGTTTTCCTTCCCCTCATTATTTGCCAGCCACCAATGCCATAGAGATCACTTGTCTAAGTCAAATCTTTATTCATTATTCTAATGTATTCATTCCTATTTGTTGAGGCCACAGTGCTGTGCGTAGACCTGCGAGAAGGGAACCGTGGACCGTTAATTGGGCGACAGGCCCGATTCATTTTAAAGGTTCGCAAGCAGCTGTAAAGAGAAACTCCTCAAGAAATGATCAGCCAAAAACACTGCTAAAGCGATGAGGCGGTGAAAATAGCGTGCATCCACAGAAAATCCTCCAGTTGCGATTCTCCCAAAGAAAAAAATTCCACTAAATCGAACCCACCATCGTCAAAATAAATTATAGCAGATTAGAATTACGATTATTTTAGGAGTCATGCGTAAAATTAATTCTAGACACAGATAGATTTTCTGTTGTCAGATCGGACTTCAGACTTAACATTTAGCTTCAAATTCGTCCTATGACTCGGTAGGAGTCAGACCCATGCCTCATGAGCCATGGATGTGATCAGTTTTGTGATTAGCTTTAAACTTTACCTAAATTTTAAACAGGAGCTGTTAACAATATTGGTACCCAAAATTAGGAGTTTCTCGTAGACATCCTGTCATTAAAACAGCTGAATGTCAAAGGAAACTTTTACTTTATTTTTATTTTTTTTTTGTATTTCCTACAAAAGCAATCGTACCTGTGATTCTCTTTATTTGAGGCCGTGGAGGATTAAGAGATTTCGTAACATTTTCAGATTTAGATGTTGTTCTTTGCATCCCTTTCACCATTTTCGGGATTACGAAGAGTTAAGGTTGCAGATAACATGCCTGTCAATAAAGAATAATAATAATATCTGCACGAATTATGATGACGATTCATGCAAAAACATTTCTGCGTCAGTCAAATCTGTTTGGATTGTTGAGAGGACAAGAATATTTCAAGCATTTCCCAAGCTTACTTCCTTTCCTATTTTACAGCAACAGTAAACCATCCAACCATGAATGAAAGCCGCCCGCTCGAAATTCTCAGAGCAGCACCCATCGTTCTTTCAGTGTGGCTCTCTTTGTCCAGTTTTGCAGCTGTAACTGAAAATGCAGTTATCTTGTGGTTGTTTTACAAAAACAAGTCTTTACGAACAATTTCCAACCGCTTTTTGGCCTCTTTGTCCGTGGCGGATTTTTCCGTCGGGCTTTTTGTAGGCCCTGTATGGATTGTCATCAGACATTGGACTCAGTCGTCGTTCAGCGTCGTAAAAGTGTTGTGGTCTTACACAACCGCTGCCACTACTTTCAACATTTGCTGTGTTTCTGTCGACCGGTTTATTACCATTTGGTTTCCATTCCGTTATCAGGAAATTGTAACCAAGAAAAGATGTCACACAATCATTATTTTGGTGTGGTTGTTTTCATTGGGTCTTCCTTTCTCGACGTTTTCGGTAAAAGATGAGGACAAAATTAATCTTATAGTGTNCTCCTTGTCCAGTTTTGCAACTGTAACTGAAAATGCAGTTATCTCGTGGTTGTTTTACAAAAACAAGTCTTTACGAACAACTTCCAACCGCTTTTTGGCCTCTTTGTCCGTAGCAGATATTTCCGTCGTGCTTTCTGTAGGCCCTGTATGGATTGTCATCAGACATTCGACTCAGTCTTCGTTAACCGTCGTAAAAGTGTTGTGGTCTTACACAACCGCTGCCACTACTTTCAACATTTGCTGTGTTTCTGTCGACCGGTTTATTGCCATTTGGTTTCCATTCCGTTATCAGGAAATTGTAACCAAGAAAAGATGTCACACAATCATTATTTTGGTGTGGTTGTTTTCATTGGGTCTTCCTTTCTCGACCTTTTCGGTAAAAGATGAGGACAAAATTAATCTTATAGTGTTGTGTATTTCGCTTGTATGTATAACCTTTGTTATTCCAATTTTGGTAGTCTCATGTTCATATATTTTTATTGTTAAATCTGTGAAAAAGCAAGCACATCGAATATTAGCAGGGGAAAGTCCTACAATATACAAGGACAATTTTAAAATTTGTACTATGCTAAATTTTAAAGCTATGAAAACAATCGGTTTTGTTTTGAGTGCTTGTATTATTACATGGATTCCAAGTTTAGTTCTTCTGTTAGTAGATTGTTATTATACCGCGATAAAAAAACAGTATTTATTGATCCTTACCTTGTGGCCTTGGGTTGAGACAATCGCTTTTACATCATCAGCAATCAATCCGTGTATATATTATTTTCGAAATCAAGAGTTCCGCCAAGCTTTTCGCCGTACCTTTCGCTGGTTACCATGCGGACACAGCAAGGAAAGAACAAGAAAAACTAAAAACCCGCCTGATGGCACTAAATAGTGTGATAACTTAAGATATAGAAAAGAAAGAGACAGAGCTCTGAGGAAATCTCAAAGGAAACAGGACTCTGCCCGCCATTGATAGACGATGTTAAAACGGACTAACTGTTGTTTCAGCATTTTTTTTGGTAAAAGTAAAGACTTTGAATCTGATTAAAAATCCTCTTAGCATCAAAGCTTAAATTTGCTATCTCTTGGCAACAAGTAGTATGTTCCCACTTTCAAAATTCAACATCCCCATTCACTCAAAAAAAAAGGGAAAAAAAGATTGAAAAAGAAAACAGGCAGGTTTGAGAGTGGATATGTGTAACACTCGCAGGATCACAGAATTGATAAATTATCTTTCTTCTCCCTCCGCAAACTTTCTAAACTTTCATTGTGAAAGATTGCTTTCATACATCTTGACGGCATTATTGCCACCACTGACAAACGACTAATGTTTGGTGACAGGAGCAAAATTACGTCTTGAATTACTCGTCTGATATGACAAAAATGAGGTATTTGTATGATATTTAAATTTACTCAGAAAGAGAGTTTTGCAAAATAAGCTTGAAAATTAAGACTTCCGTTAGATCATACACTGTTTGTGAGGGAAATAAGGCTTGTAATCAGACGAAGATGCGTGTCGAGAGTAGCCTGCAGTGCCGGCGTATTTTGGGCGCACGAGTGCACATT